GTAGGACCCTTTTCAAACTTAACTTCAAATACTTTCCTATTTAATTATTTATATCAATCATTCCTTTTTATTTATCATAAACTTTTATTTGTAGCATCAGCCTTTTGCTTGTTTTATTTTTACATTAGGGCAATTTAAAGGTAATTTAAAATTAGTGTTTTAATTTTAAATTTAAAGGCACAGTACGTCATTTGATTGAAAGCGTATTAAGCAAGAAAGTAACTTCTGAAAATTGATCTATGATTTTATTTCAGCCGTTTTTGGACTCCTCCCTGGGGGATGTTGGTCATCAGATGTTCTATGAGGAAGGAATAAACCGCTGGCTGCCACAAGGGTGAGTGTTTTCCAATTATGTATTTAGTTTTATAAATTGCTTTCTGTTGCGTACTGTTTAGTTTAATTTAATGTAGGTACACAACTTCTTTTAACAAGTTATCACATTTAATTTTCAATATATTTCCTGCAACAAGCAGTTGTAGAGCTAGGGATGCAACGTAGAGAAGTAAATATTAGGAAGGGAGTCAGACAGGGATGCACACTGTCACCGCTACTTTTTAATCTATACATCGAAGACGCCATCAGCATCATTAAAGACAGTACAACTGTAGGGATAGATATACAAGGGCAAAAGATTAGTATGCTTAGATTTGCAGATGATATAGCAGTATTAGCATCTAGCAAGGAGGACCTAGAGATAGCTTTAAATAAAATGGAAGCGGTCCTGACAAATCAATACTGTATGAAAATAAATAAAAGTAAAACTAAAATACTGGTATGCAAGGGAAGAAAAAGTAGGGAAAGAGCGAATATTAAGATAGGAGACGAAGAATTAGAAGAAGTGGCTGATTCTAGATACCTAGGAAGTCAGGATGGAAGGAGTAGTAGAGATGTAAAGCAGAGGATAGCGCAGGGTCAGAAGTCACTTCTATGCTCGCGAACGGTTAATTTAGAAATTCGAAAAAGGTTGTTAAAGCTATATGTTTGGAGCACGGCATTGTACGGGTGTGAAACATGGACGGTGGGCGCGGCGGAAAAGAAAAGGTTAGAGGCGTTCGAAATGTGGTGTTACAGGAGAATGATGAGGACACCGTGGATAGAAAAGGTTAGAAATGAAGAGGTATTAGAAAGAATAGGAGAGCAGAGGACTCTATGGAGGTCAATAAAAAATAGGCGAAATAGGTTGGTAGTATACCTTCTCAGGCATGAAGGACTAGTCAAAGACATATTAGACGCAGAAACAGGAATTAGGAGGGGTAGAGGGAGAGCTAGATTAGATTACTGTTCGCAAATAGTTAAGGATGTGGGCTGTTCTAGTTTTGGGGAAATGCGAGGTTTGGCTCGGGATAGGAAGGAGTGGAGGTACGTGTCCAACCAGTCTTAGTACTGACGACCTTATGATGATGATATTTCCTTCATACACTGCTTTTACACATTTTCTTATTTTAACGTAACTTTTTTTATTTATTTTTTACCTTCATTCAAAAATGTGTAAACAAGGCAAGAATTAAGCTAGCAAAAAATTAACAAGAAGTAAAACAATTAATAAAGCCAGCCAAATCTTGTTTTGCGCATTATTAACGGAGGATTGTATAAGTTATAAGTAATACTTAAATTGTTATTTACGTAAATAATGGTGATGGTTTTTTTATTTATGTAAAAACACAAAAAAGCAACAAATTTAATGGACACAACACTCAAAAATTGTTATAGTCATATTTTTGACAATAGAGTTCAGCCGAAGCAATGCTTGTTGAGTAAATGTTGTAATTAATATATTTGTTGAAGTTTTGTTTCTTGTTTTACTATTTATCCATTTAAATCACGCTACATGAACCATACACCTCTGAAAGTTAGATAGTTTTTATTATATGGTACATATGCTTGGAATTTTTGGTAACTGTCACAATGCCGATTGTCATTTCTTGTAAGTAGTTCCCTGAAAAATGTTCGAAGAATTTGTTATTCAACAAGCGGTTCAGTATGAATTCGTTGAACTTTTACTACTCTAAAGAAATTCCATTTCTTTGTGCTGTTGCCCATAATTTCTTCAGAGCTATGCGGAAATAATATCTGCATAAGTATGGAATGTTCACGATAATTTGGAAGCTTTATGCCCTTATAAATTCTGTTTTGTTGAAGCAGTACTACTACTTAAAAGCACTATCACTTCTTTTTCCCATAGGTAATTTTTATTGGTGGTAGTAGTAAGTTTTGTTATTAGAAAAAAACATTTTAGTTAGATTTCTGACTTTTACTATTAAATTATGTAGTTTTTTCCAGGGTGGTGGTCAAATAATTACACANAACCCGGACCCCTCTTATTACGCACCAGTACTTCACCACTAAGCTACGTTGTGGGTAAAGTTGATTCACTAATGCATTGAGTTTGGCGCTGCAGAAGTGTCTCATTACTAATGTGCGTAAAAGCGGCGGCCCGGGTTCGATTCCCGGCGAGGAAGTGACAGCAGCAACAATTTTTCCTAATTAATTTAAGGTTGTTTGTAGTGGGTAAAAATTGATTCAGTAATACATCAAGGGGTTTCAAATTAAAATCGGTTTGTAAGTATGTAATGCTCACGATAATTACTCGTTTTTTGTTTTATTTCATTTCAGAGCAACTTTTTCAAACTTAACTTCAAATACTTTCCTATTTAATTATTTATATCAATCATTCCTTTTTATTTATCATAAACTTTTATTTGTAGCATCAGCCTTTTGCTTGTTTTATTTTTACATTAGGGCAATTTAAAGGTAATTTAAAATTAGTGTTTTAATTTTAAATTTAAAGGCACAGTACGTCATTTGATTGAAAGCGTATTAAGCAAGAAAGTAACTTCTGAAAATTGATCTATGATTTTATTTCAGCCGTTTTTGGACTCCTCCCTGGGGGATGTTGGTCATCAGATGTTCTATGAGGAAGGAATAAACCGCTGGCTGCCACAAGGGTGAGTGTTTTCCAATTATGTATTTAGTTTTATAAATTGCTTTCTGTTGCGTACTGTTTAGTTTAATTTAATGTAGGTACACAACTTCTTTTAACAAGTTATCACATTTAATTTTCAATATATTTCCTGCAACAAGCAGTTGTAGAGCTAGGGATGCAACGTAGAGAAGTAAATATTAGGAAGGGAGTCAGACAGGGATGCACACTGTCACCGCTACTTTTTAATCTATACATCGAAGACGCCATCAGCATCATTAAAGACAGTACAACTGTAGGGATAGATATACAAGGGCAAAAGATTAGTATGCTTAGATTTGCAGATGATATAGCAGTATTAGCATCTAGCAAGGAGGACCTAGAGATAGCTTTAAATAAAATGGAAGCGGTACTGACAGATCAGTACTGTATGAAAATAAATAAAAGTAAAACTAAAATACTG